AAATTTTTATACAATATTTCATGGGTAGATAATGACGATTTTTGGATCTGTTCTAGTTCAAAACACATCGAACCGATTGAATAATACAAATATATATATATATTTTTATTGTCTTAAACTATTTTATAATAACTATAATAGTATCGATCATACAAAACTTGGTGACTTCTACTTAACTATTTTTAGCATTTGAAACGACAGAATGGGGAGGAAAAAGGCAAAAAATATTCTCAAAATCAACAAAATATTAATAAAATTTCGAATTTGATTAAATCCACTAGAGTTTGGGATCAAATAAATCAATACTGGAGCTTCCAACAACATTATTTTTATATATAACCATCCTCAACACAATCTACATTGCATACGAAATTCTGTATAAGATTATCTATCAAATATTGAATGTTGTAAGAAATGCATGTATCTTATTAATTAAATATGTCGTTTCGCGTATAAACATTTTATTTATGTATAATAATCGATATTATTTCATAAATTACTCTTTAATGGATAGACAGGGTCATAAATTAATGCATCTACACTCGTCGTAATTTCATGTACACAATATAATTAATCTATAACTGAGTAAGAGCTGATAATATAAAAATATACAGGAAATAATTTTAAAATCTGGTGTGACGTATACATGCGGCACAATGTATATGTGTGTTTTGCGTATCGTACACGATAATAAAATCATTATTTATAATCCAATTTATAATTTTATCATCAATAATTAATCTTATATATCTGGTGTATATGCATGTGTGTTTGTGTATAGGTACAGTACATATAAATAATGACATATGTCTGTGTTTATTTAGGCTATAAATAAAACTTATATATGTACTTTAAATGCCATTCGATAATATATAACCTAATTTATTACTTTTTTCATGTTATAAAAGTTAAAACAAGAGCTGCAAGAATAAAAAAAAACTTACTTTAAAAACAAATAAATACATTTTGCAGTTTTGTAATTTCCACAATATTTATTCTTTTGTGTTTCTTCTTCTTAAAGTAGCCCAACTTTCAGAAAATAAAAAAGATATAAACTTATTCAGCTACATCGTTATTTCCTTAAGCCAGAAAATCTGTTCATAAATCCTTATCTATCAAGGCAGAACACTCGAGTACAGGAATCGCAGTTTAAATCTCCGGAGGGGGTTAATCCTGTAAATCTCAAAAGAGAACAATCGACATTATGTTTCCCTTCGCAATTCTCATTACTCAAATTGCAGCCGACTACGGAACTGACCATTAAGATAAGCATTCGTACTTATCCGATGTCATCAAGTAATCCGGAGGAGTGAAACAATTCGGCTGTTAGCATCACGACCTTGTGATTAAAATTGTAACAAGAAGCGAGTAGTGCCCTTCTTTCTATACGTCGCACGACTCCCTCCTTGGCTGCAAGTTTCTAAAAACAGATTTTAACAGGCTCGTAATTTAAATTTATAAAGTCCACGCGCTGCTCTACCGTACGGGTAAAAATACCTAATTAAATGTGGCTGGCTGCGTGCCAAATGTTTGGCTATGGTGTCATATTCGTGAGAACTGATAAAACTAATCGATTGTACTACCGATAAGGAAAACATTTCCGTAAGAGATAGCTTCGTACCCTAACGTAGTTTGCTACTTTCCATCATATCCTAGTCGAATTTATGCTTAATATTACACGAAACAATCGAGGGATCTCGCGTTTAAATGCGGCAGAAACTATGCAAATTAGGATTATGAAATTTTTCCAGATTTCAATTTCGCATGCACTCGTTTCTAATGACAAAGCGGCTCTATCGAACCGAACAGATTACTTCCGTACGTCTGTCGCAGTCGAGACTTCATCTATCAAGTTAGGCTGTCTCCAAGGCGACTGGTTTACATCCTTCGTTTCTCGCCTTTCGCCCGATCACGTGTCTACGTGTTAATTAGGGCCCGGATCGATGGAATGACTGATGTGGACGGTGAACACCAAACACTGGTGTCCGTGTATTGTCTGCAGGGATCGGGGTGTGACTACAACTTTACGAACTCTTCGAAAGCAAAGAAACTGTGGGTGAACTGTGACGGATCCGTGATCTTATTACTCCTATTGTCGACACCCTATAATGTATCACGCCCGGTTAATCGACCAATGCGAATGAACAATACTAAATAGAAAAGCTAGCGTGTAACTCAACGAAATCTTAAGTGTCAGCGACCCTGACCGAAAGCTAAATAAGAGATAAACCTACTTACAAACTACTTAATTTTCAAAATGACGACCTATTATCACAGCCTAGAAATCATTAGAGAGTTCGTAAATATCCACTAATAACAGGTATTGAGAGGAGCTGTTTACGTAGAAAGAAAAAAGAAAAAATTCTATTTTCTTTCGAATTTAGAAAAGATAATTTTCTGGAAAAAAAAAGGGGAAACCAATCTAACAATTCCTTAGGGGGAAAGAGAAAAACAGACATGCTGTTTCATTGTGCGCTCACCCGTTTTCTGTCCCAAATTGCGATGATAGCCTGAAAACACTCGACTGGAGTTAACAGTGAGATGTATTTTCTTCCAAACTTGACTGATTTAATATTGATCTAGAGGGGGATTAACTTAAAAAAAAAAAAAAATCGATAAGCTTCAACAATAAGAGTGAGCTTCTTAAAACGTAAATATTTAACTAGGGTAAGGCAATGCTATTAATTAAAGAAAAACAATTTTACAAACTTAGTACTTCCTAAAATAATAATTAAATTTTATAATTAAATATGGCTGTTATAAGCTTACAAAAAAAAAGGGAAGGAAGACCAGTACATTCTCTTTATTCACCCTTACAAAGTACTAGGACATCATTTTCCCAATTAAATTATTTCTCCAGATTTAAAAAATCTGTTTTATGAAATACCTTAATTAAATAACTGGAAAAACTACATTCTCTGTGATTTCAGTAAATAAAATCATTATAAATTCCTCTTCTTTTTTTTATTTTAAAGTTCTTTCTTCTTAAAAAAAGAAAAAGTAAGCACAAGCAATGACTTCAATAATAAATGAATGTAAAACACCACACAAACCTCCATTAAAAATGATGAAATGTGTGGTTGATGCAGCCACAATACATATAAAATTATGCTGTTTAAATAATAAAATAAATGTAAATAGTTCTTAATTAATTAGTTTTAATTTAACTCGAACTATCCCATAGAAAAAATTTTGTAATTAAATTAAGAGAGATGAATTAGAATTATTATTTATTAAAATGTTTGCAGCAATTTTTTCATAAGTAATAAAGAAAATTACATCTTTATAGCATTTCAAAGCCAATTACACAGAAGTAAATGGTATTGTAATATTTAAATTTGTATTTTTAATGCTAAATAGTTAAGTAGTGTAAAAGCAAACGAAGGTATCAAAATATCTAAAATTATAACAACAAAATTTAATTGGAAATACTATTCTAAAGGGATTATATTACTTAGAATTATTGTTATGAGCAGGAAGAAGAAGAAAAGAAAAAAAAATAAATAATAATAATAAGCATAAAATTTGAAACAGGAGTATCTTATTGATCCATTCAAAATACATTTAAGATAAAGTTTCACCTTGAGAGTATTTTGCTTAATTCAATTAAACTTAATTCAGTTTAAGGTTTATTTTTTTCTTTATTTTTAAAGTAAAAATAAATATATAAAACCTTCGTCCAAAGTTAAATTCTTAAGACAGATATAAAAAAAAAATAATTATTAAGCAGAAAAATTTTCATCTCATTTTAAAATTTCATCATAAGTTTATGTACTGAATAGCATTTTTAAATATAAAAATTAATATGTAACATAATCCAGATTTCAAAAATACTTTGAAAAATCATTATTTTCTATATTATTAAATTTATATGTAAAGTAATATAATATATACATATAGAATTCAGTAATTTCAATGATTTTTCTGTTATATAATATAGAATTTTATATATTTAACATTTTGAAATTAAAATGTTTATAATTAAACATTTAATAAAACTGTTTTATTATTTTTGTTTTTGACTTTAGTCCCGCAGACATCAAGAGGGCCATTTTTTTAAAATCAATGTGAAGCCCACAATGGGACAATCTGGTAGTAAGGACTTGATATATCCAGAATGAACTACTACTGTAAAAATTCCTAGGTATTTTTGGCCCATCCAGATTTGTTCCTGGAACCTTCAGCATAGTAGGCTAACACCACTCAACCATCAGGCTGTCAATAAAAGTGATTTACAGAGATCATTTTAAGCATAGAAATGTCGTTAAATGAGGAAAATGCTGATATCTTTAGAACAAACTTTGAATTTAAAACTTATCTATCAATCATAGAAAATATTTTAAATTCAAAATTTCTTTTATAAACTTTATGAAGCTAAACTTATTTTGTAAATTCATAGAGAAGCTACATGTTAAAGTTCCTCTTTGAGCTTCTCTACGAATCTAAGCCCCTTCTATGAGCATCTCAATAAATTTAAACTTCTCCCAGTAGTATCTAAATAAATGCAAACACCTATTAGCTTCTGTACAAATCTATCTAAAATCTACAACTACGTTCCTTCTATGAGCCTCTGTATTAATCTAAACCTCATCTATGAGCCTTTGTATTAATGTAAACCTCACCTATGAGCCTCTGTATTAATGTAAACTGCTTCTATGAGCCTATGTATTAATCTAAACCTCATCTATGAGTAAACCTCACCCATGAGCCTCTGTATTAATGTAAACCGCTTGTATGAGCCTCTGTATAAATTTAAACCCTTCTATGAACATCTGTATGAATGTAAGCCTCTTCTATGAGCTTCTTCAAGTTACAGAAGCTTTAACATTAAAGCTTGACATTTATATGCTGAGTACACTTTAAAAACATTGAAGTAAATATGAAAATGATTAAAAATTAATATTTCTGATTATTTACATTGCTAACAATCATCAGAATGGCCACTCTATTCGAATATTCCAGTTTATTATTTTAATAAATTAAAAAATAAAAAACCTCACCTTTTACATTACTTGACTGAATCTCTACGTATGATAAATCAATGAAGCACCTCTCTTGTCCTTCTGAACGATTTTAAAATGGTGCCGATCATCGTCTACGATATTTAAACACTTACTCGATGATAAAATGATACAATTATGAGAGAAATTTAATAAACAAACACGTTCTAACGTCGAGAGATCGAACGTCATACACACGTTCATCAGGCTTAGCTGCTAAATAACCAGACGTAAACAGCACTAGGCGCCCCCTGATGGTTGAAATTATCAACATTTAGCGGTAACATTTTTAATTTAAAAAAAAAAAAAAATTAAATTATTGAACGCGTTACGCTGTGTTACGTTATTAAAAAATCATTAAAATAAAAGAAAATTAATACTTTTAATTCCTCGTTTATATATATAGGCCTATATAAATAAACGGATTCGGTTAAGTAGAACTTCACGTTTATGTTGCGGAACATTTACTAAGAGCCGACAACTTATATTTTATTAATGAATTTTTCTACTTTTCTGTTGATTTTTTTTCACGCTCGTGATTTTGTTATAGTTCTTTGAATACTAAAATTCAAAATTACATCGTTATAAGTATTAATTATGAATGATGACGTTATATTTAAAGAGCGCAACATAAAGCGGCATGAAGGATGACCTGCTATATATATATGCATTGTATAACACATAAGAAAAAAAGTCTAATAACTTTAATAAATGCAAAAATTACATTAAAATTTAAACAATTTATAGTGTAGGCACACAGAGAGAATGTCGAATAAAGTTTTTAAAAAATTACTATAAAGACAAAGCTGATAGGAAGAAGGACAGGGGAAGACCAAAGAGAATATGGTACAATGATGTAAAGAGAATGAGAGAAGAGTGTAGTTATGACGGGAAAAATGGAAAGACTTCTGGATGATCAGAAAGCATATCAGTGCCCTTAATTGTATGAAAATTAACATTGAAAACATGTAAGGAAAAACACTCAATGACCAGCAATGCATTTAATACATAAATGAACATTTTGATAATCTTCATCAACCATTATCAGTTTACCATCTCTTGAGTTAGTCTGATGATCATCTTCAGGATAATCTAACAACGCATACCTTCAGTAACCATTGATAACCAGATTATATTAATGATGATGAAAAGGATCTGTTCATATATTGCTAGATGATACAAGTTGTTTATTTTTACATATTCAGTGAATAACTAGTTCAAGATAATTTGACTGATAATTTCATCTGAATGGCCACATTTTATTTTATTAATGGTGGAAAATCCAGTATATTTTTTCAGTTTTTGTCTTGTAATTTTCAATTATTTCTTAAAATGTGATATTTTTTTCCTCATAAAACAACTATCAAAGATTGAGATCAAAAAATGCTAAGCTAAGATCAAATTTTATTTAAAGAAATTATTTTTTTTAATTACAGAATTGCAGAAAATTAAAACTGGATGACTAGAATAGAACAAAATCTTTGAGCTATTAATTATAACTAAATACATCCACATCTTAAATCTCCAGCAATACTTTAATGATATTTACTAATGTTTTTGATGTGATTGTAGGAAAGGAAAGTTCTGTTTAAGCCATACATTATCAACTAAATCTCAGGAGGTTGTTAACAATTCATAGGGGCAACCTTGTCCCATCGGAAAAATCTGAAGTTTATAAAATTTGTATGTTTATTACTACTAATAATGCCAACATAGTAGAACCCTGATTATTTGAGATAATGTGGACCAATGCTATCTCAGATAACTGAAAACTTGGATTGAGAATTACAAATATAAAAAGGTTTATATGATACATCACTTTTATGCTTCTTTTTATACCTTCTCTCTCTCTCCTCAACGAATGGTTGGTGGACAAACATGGATGTGTGCAGTCTTATAGCTTCTCTCTTTACTTAGCTAGCTGTTTTATCTGTTAGTAAGGACTTTTCCATAATAACTTGTTGAGATATTCCACTCTAGGTCTTCCACGTCGCCTTTTGCCCGCTATCTTTCCTTCCAATAAAATATTTAATATTTTTCATCCATTCCGAGTGTCACATTAGGTGGCCACTCATGTCACTTCTTTCCTCTATCATTCTCAAAATCTGTCTCTTCTCTGTTACCTCTTTCAAAACATCCTCATTCGTCTTTCTCTCAATACATGACACTCACATCATTCTTTGCCAGCACCACATCTCAAAGGCCTCCAGTTTTCTTTTCTCTGCTGTTTGGAGTGTCCATGTCTCCCAAACAGTACAATGCTATGTTCCAGATTAAACTCTTAATGAATCACTTCCTAACATTGATTGATATATTTTTCGATGTTAACATCCATCTATCGTTTCCTATAGAATGCCTGTTTTGCTTGGGCTATTCTTGCTGTAACATCTCTTTCACTCCTTCCGTCTGAGATAATTACACTTCCTACATACATGAACTCACTGACTTCTAATTTTTCACTGTCCAAATAGATGTTCATTCCTCCTTGTTCCTTTTTTGTTGAACATCTCATTATCTTCATGTTTTTCCTATTTATTCTCATCCCAATCTTTTAAACTGTTCATTTAAATTTTCAAGAACAATCTGTAGATTGTCTACATCTTCCACTATCATTGCGATGTTGTTAGCAAATCTTATTGTGCTGTACAACTTTCCATTCACTTTTATACCTTTTGTATTAGTAACATAGAATTCTTTCGTTGCCTCTTGTATGTATATGTTGAACAATAGTAACAATAATCCAGAAACTTGTCTCACTCCTTTTATACCTTATTGAATTTAATTATATATAAGAAACAACACTTTTCAGAATAAAAATGTTTATTATTATTGTCACATTTTAATATGAATGGTTTGTCTCATATTAGTTAAATGATAAAAAGTAACAGAAACAAATCATTTTAAACTTTTAAAAATTGAAGTACAGTATAAGTAAAGTAGCATATTCACTTACAGGTCAGATAATGCAGGATCTTCCAACATGTTCATGTTGCTTGCTACTTACATAACTTAGGACTAGGTAACTAGTGTGCAAGGCAATNTCTATATTATTTTTAATTGTTTATGACATTATTCTAAGAGATTTGCATTAGTTTCTTAATGAAGTTAACATTAAGATAAACATTTTGTAGGTTATGAAAATAAAAATGAATTTGTGGGATGAATAATATTTGCACAATAAACTGTCAAAAATGCTATTCTTAGAGAGCATCAGGCAAAGGTCGTTAATCAGGATTAAATTTCTCTTTATCTCCTCATCTTTTAATGATGCTGATGATATTAATTCTAATCAAAGAAAAGATAAATGTATCTTCTAATATATATTTGTAAATTACTATAATTAAAGTATATTTAATGCTATAATTCCTATCAATTTTTAATTTTAATAATATTAATTAATTCCGAATACATTATTTTTATGGTTTAGGATAGTTCAAAAGTCAGTTAACCGTGTTTTATTTATTGTTTTACACGTACATAGTAATTGTATTAAGGTTGTTTAAACTGACTTTTGGGCCGCACTTTATATACAATTTTTTATAACATACCTTTCTTTGAACACTTTAAAAATATCCTTAAATTTAATTTTAAATACAATAACTTTTTATTTTAATTATTTAAAATTCCTATTGTTTGTAATTAGATGAGAATATTCAACTAGAAAATAATAATTAATTAAGCCATTAAATATCATTTGGTAGTTAATTAGTTATTATTAATTTTTAATTGTATACAATACCCATAGAAGATCCAATTAATTATTAAACACATCATAATTTTATTCATTAGATAATAAAGATCGTCTTGAACATAAATAAATACAATTACCTCTTCAATTTTAATGAGATTTACAATGAAGAGATCAAATACGCCTCTTACATTTACAATAAATTCAATTCTTATCATTGGAATTATACAGCTTATAATGCTTTTATTTAAGTAAATACTTAAAATTAATTATTTTGTCCAGCAACGATCCACCTGTTCTAATACAGTATTTAGTCTCGTGTGTGACCTATTTACGCTCCGTCTACGTTGATAAATAACTTTCTTTAAATATAATTTACACACATAAACTGTATTTGAAGTCTTCTTACAAATACACAAGGCTAGGTGTGTGTGTGTGTTAAATTCACACAGAATAAATCTGCTTTATTGTATCAAATAATAGGTTCACAATATAAACAATATACAGGAACAGTTCTATACTCGTTGCAAGGGTCAAATACTCGCTTTGAAGTACCTTATCTGTAAAGGGGTCATCTTAAAATGCCTCTACTGATAACCTACATCGGTAATTCGAGGATGAGTGTAATATAAACACTCGATAATACTTTACTTTAAACAGATGCACGTTATCATAATGAATCCAGATCCGGATCCGAAACCAAATCCAAATCTCAGCTTAGTCAGTGGTACCCATTTGCCGTTTGTATAATATATACTTTCGCTTTCATCACATAAAATTAGGCTATTCTTACTTTTTTTAAACTTAATAATACTGGCTGAAAAAAGGGGAAATACTAGTCAAAATTTTTTTCTGTTAGATCCAATGATTCCCTTGGCTACGGGACTGAATAAATCATGTGGGTCTTCAATATAGGGCGTCTGGCACATTCAATACAATGTATGAGTTAACTCTATGGTTCTACTATGGTAAATAATATAAGACCAAACAGAAAATATAAAATTCTTACGGAATCAAGTCTCTGCTATGAGAAGTCATTGTTTTTTTTTATGCTGTTAGACACGAAATGAAACTCTTAGTTAAATTCTTTATGTCGATCTTTCAAGCGCAGTGTTCCGTTATAATAAACAAACATTGATCTAGTAATTCGTAATAAAATATTTAAATTAATTATTTTTTCATCTGTCAAGGAGAAGGTCTTCCGGGATAATTTTCTATGAGAAACTAGTCCTTATTTCGGGGTATTAAGGTAATGCAACATATGGACCATCTGTCAAGGAGGATGTTCTCCGAGAGATTTTCTAAGGGAAGCTAAGCTGGTCCTTATCTTATTTATGTGTTAGACATGTGAACTCCACTTGGACAGGTGCGAACCCATGATAAACCTAACGTTCATTATTAGTTTTGGTACTGATGGGCATTAATCAACCATTGATCTGGATGGAAAGGGTCATTCAGCCATTTTTGATTTGTATTGGCTGCACCAAAAATGGTAGTATCATCATTTATCAAGAAAGCAGAGTTAATAAATTTAATTCTCAATTATACATA